TCCCACATTTGAGAAGCTAGATAGGGTTTTGATGTGTCCAGCTTGGGAGGAAAAATACCCACTAACTATATTAAAAGCTTTTGCTAGGGAAATCTCTGATCATACTCCCTTATTCCTAGACACATGGGAATCAGAAGATCACAAATATACATTCAGATATGAGAATGCATGGGCATTAAGAGAGGGATTCAAAGAGTTGGTGTATAAAACATGGAGTGAGAGATATAAAGGGGATGTTCTGGAGAGATGGCAACTAAGATTGAGAAACTTGAGGAAAAAAACCAAGGGATGGAATAAAAATGTGGATGCCTGGTATAGAAAAATAAAGATAGATATTGTTAAGGAGCTAGATGAGATAGACAAGAGGGCTGAGAAACTGGGACTTACTGTTGCAGATAGAACAGAGCAGAGGGAGCTTAGAGCACAACTTGAAAGAGTATTGCTTCAAGAAGAAATAAAATGGTTACAAAGATACAAAGATAAAGAGATAACTGATGGAGATGGGAACACTAGATACTATCATGCCAAGGTCAATGGAATAAGGAGGAAAAACATAATTATTTCATTAGAACAAGATGAGGGGGTCATAGAGGGAGAGAGTAGACTGATGGAATACATAACTAACTTTTACAAAAATTATTTGGACATCCTGAAGAGACACAAATCTCTATGAAAGGAATTGACATGAAGAAGATTAGCATTCAAGATAGGGAAGAGCTTTTGGCCCCTTTCTCTTTGGATGAAATACATCAGGTGGTGTTTGGGATGAAAAAGAACAAAAGTCCTGGACCAGATGGATTCCCTGCTGATTTTTATCAGGAATTCTGGGATTTGGTTAAATGGGATTTAAAAGTATTGGTAGAGGGGTTCGCTAGAGGAGAAATTAATATTGCCATGCTTAAGTATGGAATTATAACTCTTGTCCCAAAAACCAATGATGCTAGACAAATTCAAAGATTTAGGCCCATATGTCTGTTGAATGTTAGTTTCAAGATCATAACTAAAGTGTTGATGAACGGGTTGGCTAAATGTGTGCCCCTGTAATATCCAAAACCCAAACTGCCTTTATTAAGGGTAGATATAACATGGAGGGAATAGTGATTTTACATGAAGCTCTGAATACTTTTCATAAAGAAAAAGAAGATGCTCTGATTTTCAAAGTAGATTTTGAGAAAGCATATGATAAAATAAAATGGCCTTTTTTAATACAAATGTTAAATCTAAAGGGATTCCCTGACAAGTGGTGTGACTGGATGATGGAAACCATGAGGGGAGGGCATGTAGGGATCAAGGTGAATGATGATATTGGGCCATATTTTAAATCTTTTAAAGGGTTAAGACAAGGTGATGCTATGTCACCATTGCTTTTTGATTTGGCTGCAGATGCCCTAGCCATTTTAATGAACAATGCCTTAGAAGATGATGTTGTGAAGGGAGTGTTGAGAGGGGAAAATAAAAAAGGTGACAATATGTTACAGTATGCAGATGACACTATTTTCTTGATAAAAGATGATATAGAAAGTGTAAGAAATCTCAAATTTATATTGGGAGATTTTGAACAAATGTCTGACCTCAAAATAAATTTTCATAAAAGTGAACTGATGCTATCTGGAAAAGCTAAAGAGAAACAGAAGATATATCAGGAAATTCTAACACGTAAGATGGGGGAGCTGCCCATCAGATATTTGGGGATGACTATGTGAGATGTTAGAATTAGAAACTTACACTGGAATTGTGTAACTAGCAAAATTGAAAAAAGATGCAGCTCCTGGCAGGGGAAGTTGTTAGGTTCTACTGCTGGCAGAATAACCCTGGTGCAAGCATGTCTGACTAACATTCCACTTTTTGTGATGTCCTTCTATGCTGTCCCAAAAGGGATTATTAAAAAAGCTGATTTTTTCAGGGCTAGACTGGTATGGCGAGAAGATGGGAACATAAAAAAATACCATTTAGTTAAATGGAAGAAATGTTGCATACCTAAAGATGTAGGGGGGTTAGGGATCGTAAATCTGGAGGTGATGAATATTGCATTATTGGCCAAATGGTTTTGGAAAATGGAAATAGAGGAAGGCTTATGGCAAGATATACTTAGCAGAAAAGATGGAAAGGGAATATGCTTAGCCTTAATATCTAAGAGACCTAGAGATTCCCAATTCTGGGGTAGTCTTATGAGAATTAAAGAATTTTTTTTCCAAATTTGTGAAAAAAGAACTAGGGGATGGGAAAAATACCAGGTTTTGGGAAGATACTTGGGTAGATGATAAACCTTTAAAGGAAGCTTACTCTAGAGTATATGATATTTGTTTTGACCACAATATAACTATGGATGAGGCCATACAAAAAGGATGGCAAGGATTTAAATTCAGGAGAACCTTATATGGGGAAATTCTGGATTTATGGAATAGTCTTAAAAGTAGATGTGAGGAAGTATCTATGGGGGGTGGAAGGGACAAAATCACCTGGACCCTCACTGCAGATCATAAATTCTCGGTGGGATCCTTGTACAGGAAAATTATCACTCTCGGTCTGAATTTCCCACATAAATTTCTGTGGAAGACCAAAGTGCCTGGAAAAATCAAAGTCTTTTTATGGCTTGTTAATAGGAAAAGTATCTTGACAAGAGACAATTTGCTGAAAAAAAAGGATAGAAAGGAGGGAAAAAGATGTGTGTTTTGTGGAAAAGATGAATCAGTTGATCATCTGTTTTTTGAATGCTCAGTGGCATCCCTGATGTGGGGGCTGATTAGGTGTGTGTGTGGGCTTAAAACCACTCCCTTGAATGTAAGGGGTTGCTTTGGGAATTGGCTAAACAAGTTTGGCAGGGATGATAAAAAGTTAGTAATGGTGGGGGTTTCTGCTTTGTTGTGGGCTATTTGGAAGAGTAGAAATGGGATTATTTTTTAAAAAAAGGATAAATGATCCTTTATATATAATCAAACTAATGCCTAATTGGTTGGTTGATTGGTCTATCTTGCAGACAAAGGAGCCGCTAAAAAGGGTGCTGGAGCTGGGAGCAAGACTGCTAGAGCGGGTAGCAGATGAAGTGTACACAGCGAAGCAGGGGTGGAGAATCAATGTGGCAAGACTGGAGGGATGAAAAGAAGATTCTGTCGGCTATTGAAGATGTGTGACTTTATGTTGTTGCCGTGTTTTAGTAGTTTTTTAGCTGTTAATTTTTTCTGGTGCCCTCGTGAACTTTGTTATTTCCTGGATGATGATGGTAGGCAGCCCTGTAGGCTTGTTGGCTTTTGGTGATGAATCAATCGTGTGGGTTTTTGCGGCGCTGCCCTGAATTATGCTAGTCTTTCGGTTGAGTATTGTGGTTCTGCAAGTTGGTTTTCAGTAATGAAAATCGGAAGGGGGAAGCCCTTCTTTGATAAAAAAAATTGTTGAAATCAGCAGAAAGACGGAGCGAGATCTGCACAAGTAAGTCATAAAACTGGTTCGAGATCTGCACAAGTAAGTCATAAAAATGGTTCGTGGACTTACTGGTCATTTTCATGTTTAGACGGACCCATAACTAAATAGGTCATGATTCATGGCCATCTCATCTTTCAGGGTAGACCGGCGGAAGTGCAAACGGACAGATTGGGCGGATTTCCATAGAGTCCATATAGACGCCTGGATATGCATTGGTGAAGCAGTTTAATTACCCCTCATGTGATTTTCGCTACAGTTATTTGTTTTGTTAGGAAATACAAAATCATAGTAAAGAAAATGAAAATCGGTATGAGATTGATACACTCTGTTTATTATAGCCAGACCTAACCAGGTTAGGTTGCATGTGCAACTATCAGAAGTAGAACACATGCTAGATGGCAACTTACTACTTTTATTTTAATTACCAAGAAGTCTCTTAACATGTGTCTTACTCAATGTAGGTGGTCGCCAACTAATATCACATTGGTGCTTTTTGGTTTGGATTGGGCATCATTCATGATGTTATGCCATTGTTTGCCAAGATTGTTGGCGTGCTGTCAAATTAGGACTATTTATTGTTTTCCCTTATTATCTTCCAATTGACAGATTTGGTGCATTAGTACATGAAACATCAAAAAGCATCGTGATTCTGTGAAAAAGGGTATGTTTTCTTCATACTGTATTTATATATATTTGCCCTTTTTTATGTTGTTTGCTGAATTTTCGTACTTTGGCTTCTCTTGCAACACCATTGCCACAGTTCCATAATGAGATACATATAAACAAATATCTCTAGGAGATTGTGCTGTCTACTTTAGTAAGTCTTTTACTCTTAAATATATGCAGTTTATTTACTGAATATAAGATAGTGTAAAAGCTCTAGCGGTAGTTGCCCACCGAGTAAGTTAATACAAAAGAGAACAAATGCATTAATTATTTGTTCTGACCAAAGGTGGGTTCAAACACAACATTTTGAAAGCAAAAAATAAACGGACGTTTACCACTGGCCAAGATCCAACAAGTTCTATATTACCATTTTTCCTATGAGTTACTTCCTGTCATTAAGCAGCATTTGCACAACCGTCGGTTGCACGCTGCCAGTCCTGTATATATAGCTCTATCAGCCCCGCGGCACATGCATGCATGTTGCGACCGCCGTGGGATGTGCATTGAGCGGGTAAGGTCTCCAGCGCGGAATTGGTGGTGGTGCTTTGTTGATTTGGTCAGCTCGCTCTAACTTGTAGTAGGATCATAGTTGCCACTTTAACCCCGCGTTACTCATCCCGTCCATTCCATGAGGGCACACACAAGTCGAGGTCAACGCATGCATCTGCTTTTCTTCGTGACTACTCGTTCCTCCTAGTGGAGTAGTATATATGTATGTATGCATGTAAGCAGGCCGTACGTGGAACAAGGAGGGCCAAAAAAAAAAAGAGAAATGCATGCGGTCTCCTCAAGCATCCACGGGCACGAGCTAGGCAGCCGGAAACTTTGCTTCATACAGATATATACAGGTGCTGCAGACAGAATGCATATATAGCTAGCGCTTGGCTGCCTAGCCTAGTAGTGAACTCAACAAGATGGAGGGCGGCAAGGCATCCACTTCCACTCAGCGGCAGCGGCAGTCGTCCGGCGGCGTTCGGCCGATTGTGCTAGTAGTGGTCGCGGTGAGCCTGGTTGGCGTGCTGTTCATGGCCACGCGGGTCTCGCCCGGATGCCGTCCACTCTTAAAAGCTGGTACGTACGTACGTACAGGTTGATCTTGCACTAGACTGTATATGTACAGAGGGAGGCATTGTCGGTATATATACCAAGTCAAGTAATCGACGACATGCTTCAACTATATCTATATGCATGTAGTGTACCAACAAGGAGTAGGCCGTGCCGGCCCCTCCGTGACGACGGCCGATCCGCTCCTCGGCGGCCTCCTCTCGCCGGACTTCGACGACCGCTCCTGCCTCAGCCGCTACCGCGCCCCGCTCTACCGCCAGCCGTCGCTCCACAACCTGTCATCGCACCTCGTCGCGCGCCTCCGACGCTACGAGTCCCTCCACCAGCTCTGCGGGCCTGGCACACCGGCCTACTCGCGCGCCGTCGCCCGCCTGCGCGAGGCCATGGATGGGCATGCGTCAGCGCCAGCACCAGCTGCGGCATCATCCAACGGTGCCAGCTCCGACGACCCCGAGTGCAGCTACATCATCTGGACCCCCGTAGAGGGACTCGGCAACCGCATCCTCTCCACCGCCTCCGCTTTCCTCTACGCGCTGCTCACTGACCGTGTCCTCCTTGTCCACCACCCCGCCGACGACCTCAACGACGTCTTCTGCGAGCCCTTCCCGGGCTCCAACACCACCTGGGTGCTCCCGGAGAAAGGCTTTCCCATCCAGGGCATCAAGGGGCTCAACGTCCGCACCCGGGAGAGCCTCGGCAACGCGCTGGGCCGTGGCAGGGACCCGCCGGCGCCGTGGCTGTACGTGCACCTACAGACCGACTACAAGCCGGACGATCGGCGTTTCTTCTGCGACGACGGACAGGACTCGCTGCGTGGCGTGCGATGGCTCGTGCTCCGCTCCGACAACTACTTCGTGCCGGGCCTCTTCTTCCTCCCGCGGTACGAGGAAGAGCTGGCCCGCCTGTTCCCGCACCGCGACACCGTGTTCCACCACCTCGGGCGGTACCTGTTCCACCCGAGCAACACGGTGTGGGGCATGGCGACGCGGTACTACAGCTCGTACCTGGCCCCGGCGGAGGAGCGGGTGGGCGTCCAGGTGCGCGAGTTCAAGTATGCGCGCATCTCCGCCGACGAACGCTACAAGCAGATCATCTCGTGCGCGAGCCGCGAGAGCCTCCTGCCCGCCGTCAAGGACGCTACTCTCCCGAGCTCTGACTCTGACCACCACCAGCAGCAGGAGCAGGAGCAGGAGACGAAACGCAAGGCCGTGCTCGTGGTGTCGCTGAACGGGGACTACTACGACAAGCTCAGCAGCCTGTACTACGAGCACGGCGCGGCGGGAGGGCACGGCGCTGTGACTGTGAGCGTGTTCCAGCCGACGCACCTGGGCATGCAGCACTCGGAGAAGCGGCAGCACAACCAGAAGGCGTTGGCTGAGATAGTGTTGCTCAGCTTTTCGGACGTGGTCGTCACGTCCGCCCAATCCACGTTCGGCTACGTCAGCCAGGGGCTGGCCGGGCTGAGGCCCTGGGTGCTCATGCTCCCCGCCGACGGGAAGGTCCCCGATCCGCCGTGTCGTCTCGCCTCCACCATCGAGCCCTGCTTCATGAAGGCGCCGCACTATGACTGCCGGACCAGGGGACACAGCGACAACGGCAAGCTGCTCCCGTACATCCGGCAGTGCCAGGATGTATCGTATGGCGTTCAGTTGGTGGAGTAACTCGATCAGCTCGCCTTCAATCAATTTAATTTTGGCAGCCTCCCTCATCGTAGCTTCATCATGCATGGCCTCTTGGTCTTGGGGGCAATCATCCTAGTAATTTCGTTACTATCTGATTTGCCTAGCTAGTTGGTCCACCGATGCATGGGTCGTATAAGATTTTTCTCTATGTTCGTTTTCCTTTGTAGTTCGGCTATTTGTCGGGTAAAAATAATGAGAATTAGTTACTTCTCAATTAGTTGCAACTCTCATCGAGTAAGAATCACGACGAAATCTAATGGGTTTCATCAGTTTTAAATAATTGTAACTGAAAAAACAAAGTTGCCATCCACTGCAACTTACATTGTGTACGATCGAATCATGATTCAAAGACTGAGCTGTAAACTAATTTCCTGGTCGATCTAGACCATGAAAACCATAAAATAAAGACTACGATGAGTTTCTGAGCTCCGTATAACAATCATAGTAGACATTACTAGATCGTTAATATGATTTTCATAAATAATGTGTTGAAAGATGGGTATGTTTTCTTAATAAAATTTACATGGCACAAAATGTTGAAACTATTGCACTACTCAGCCATACTAAGTAATGCATAGAATCGGACAAATAACATTAGGAATCAATGAAACGCTAACATGTCATACATTACATTTTGGATAGTACACCTGCATAGCATCACCAAGTAATACATAATACCGGCCCTAGTATGAGATGTCATATAAAGAGTTGAAATATATATGTGCAAACCTCGAGAAAATGAGTCATACAATTTATAGTTCCCTGGCCATGCATCAACTCCAGTATTAACTACACGGACTGAGCTTAGGTAACTAAGGAAAACAGTTCTTTGCAAAAAAAAAACTAAGGAAAACAGTAATATTGTCCCTACTATGGTGTTATTTTTTGCATTCCAGTGTGATATAAATTTATACATAAAAGCCTAGTCGGATAGGTAGCGGGTATATAATAAATGTGTTATTGCCTGACCTCATATTGCTTCTTTGAAGGTAGCAGAAGTAGCGTTGATGCCACGATGGCTCCAGATAATACATGGCATTGATATTTGTCCACGATGGAATGGTAGATTCAGTCTATATCGAACTCATGCACCAAGGGGTTTCTTAACGTCATACTGAAATCGGATCTGCAACAAGTTATCCAAGTTGCTCAAAAGGACCACAATCAAGCATACTCAAGAAGTACCAGATAGTCAACAATCCTTTCTCCTTTGCGGGGTCTATACAAACAATACTAGATCATTAATGGCGCATGTTGCCGCGCCTGTCTAATTTGGCTCTATAATTTTTAGGGATAGGAAGCAATCTGTATATAATTGTTTACAATGCTTTGGAGTGGTGTTGTGCTTTCTTGCCTCTCGTGCTTGTCTCCTTCATTTTACAAATCATGGTATGTAATTGAAGATAGGAATCCTACTGGATTGCAAGAAAGCAGTGTGTCGATCTTTTTTCTTAGGTCTGATGGACATTTTTCTCCTCGGTGGCGTGTGTGCATTCTTGTGTGGGTTGTCATGTCGTCCTGTTTGCCTTGTTTTCGTGGGCATGATGTGACGGTTTTTGCCCGATTTTCAATCAAATCCTAAGGGACCGAGTTTTAAAAAATGCACATATGGACATATTGAGGTGAAATACTAACCTCTTTACAAATTATTCAAGAAGGACGTTCTGAAAAACTGCAAGCTGCTCTGCACCATGCATAGTGATATTGTGGCTAGCCTTGTGGACAAAAGATAGTGTGATTGAAGACCTACAATAGTCCAGTATTCAACATGATAGCACCAAAAAGGTATAATTACTTCAAAGGAAATAAAAATCCAAATAACAGTATTGGCATAGAAAATATACACTTATAGTTGTAAGATGTTGATGGCAAAAGTAGAGCTTTTAAGGTTTGGAAAGTTCGCTCTCAAGTAGATACACGCATCTCAGAAATAATTCCACTCTAGCTTTAGTGTTCTTGAGCATTGGCAAGTTATGTCTTATGACCAAATCATGAAATGCCTTCTAATCCTTGTAGACCGGAAATCAGTAACTCCAACAGAAACATTGCAGTTGCAGGGTAACAAGAATGACATTGTTGCTTTAATGAAAAAAAATCATATACCAACATAACTAAATATCGGATATACAAGACAAAATGGTTTTACAATAGAAAGAAACCTGGTGATGAGATGCCAATAAGAAAGTGTAGCAAGATAATGTGCCTCATAATGGTAGCCTTGTATCCTTGTACATCCAGCATGGCTTGTCGCTGGAGAGAAGCTGGACAATATATTGAAACAAAGGTAGGAACGCATATGTTCATCATGCTATTGTTTCATTTGATTCATTCAACGTGGCGACCTTGCCAGCAGATTTCCATCATGATACGAACTGCCCCATAAAACTCAAGGGTCCATACAAAAAAAGCTAAATTGCATGTGTGCAAGAGAATGCTGAAGGAAATATGCCCTAGAGGCAATAATAAAATTATTATTTATTTCCTTCATTCATGATAAATGTTTATTATTCATGCTAGAATTGTATTAACCGGAAACTTAGTACATGTGTGAATACATAGACAAAACATATAGTCCCTAGTATGCCTCTACTTTACTAGCTCGTTAACCAAAGATGGTTATGTTTCCTAACCATAGACATGTGTTGTCATTTGATGAACGGGGTCACATCATTAGAAGAATGATGTGATGGACATGACACATCCGTTAGCTTAGCATTATAATCGTAACAGTTTCTTTGCTACTGCTTTCTTCATGACTTATACAAGTTCCTCAGGCTATGGGATTATGCAACTCCTGAATACCGGAGAAACACTTTGTGTGCTATCAAATGTCACAATGTAAATGGGTGACTGTAAAGGTGCTCTACAGGTGTCTTCGAAGGTGTTTGTTGGGTTGGCATAGATCGAGATTAGGATTTGTCACTCCGTGTTTTGGAGAGGTATCTCTGGGTCCAGATACGTCGTATCTATAATTTATGAAGTATTCATGCCATGTTTACAATAGTTGTATATGATTTTGGTATGATTTGGTTAGAACTAACCCGGACTGACGTTGTTTTTAGCAGAACTACCGTGGTGTTGTTTTTGTGTAGAAATAAAAGTTCTCGGAACGTGCTGAAAATCAACGGAGATTTTTTCTGGAAAGTATGAAAAATACTGGAATAAAAATCTACTGGAGGGGAGTCCCGTGGGCCCCACGAGGGTGGGGGGCGCCCACCCCCTGGGGCGCGCCCCCTGCCTCGTGGACTCCTCGAGGCCCCCACCCTGACGTGAAATCAACGCAAACTCCTCCTATAAATACAGAAACCTTTGGGAAATAACCTAAATCGGAAGTTCTACCGCCGCAAGCCTCTGTAGCCATGAGAAATCAATCTAGGCCCTCTCTGGCACCCTGCCGGAGGGGGCCATCATCGCCATGAAGGCCAAGGACCAGAGGAAGAACTGATAACCCAGAAGTATAGGGGATCGCAACAGTTTTCGAGGGTAGAGTATTCAACTCGAATTTATTGATTCGACACAAGGGGAGCCAAAGAATATTCTCAAGTATTAGCAGTTGAGTTGTCAATTCAACCACACCTGGATAACTTAGTATCTGCAGAAAAGTATTTAGTAGCAAAGTAGTATGATAGAAACGGTAACAGTGATAAAAGTAATAGTAGCAGTTTTGTAGTGATTGTAACAGTAGCAACGGAAAAGTAAATAAGCAAAGCACAATATGTGAAAAGCTCATAGGCATTGGATCGGTGATGGATAATTATGTCGGATGTGATTCCTCATGTAAAAGTTATAACATAGGGTGACACAGAACTAGCTCCAGTTCATCAATGTAATGTAGGCATGTATTCCGAATATAGTCATACGTGCTTATGGAAAAGAACTTGCATGACATCTTTTGTCCTACCCTCCCGTGGCAGCGGGGTCCTAGTGGAAACTAAGAGATATTAAGGCCTCCTTTTAATAGAGTACCGGAACAAAGCATTAACACATAGTGAATACATGAACTCCTCAAAATACGGTCATCACCGAGAAGTATCCCGATTATTGTCACTTCGGGGTTGTCGGATCATAACACATAATAGGTGACTATAGACTTGCAAGATAGGATCAAGAACTCACATATATTCATGAAAACATAATAGGTTGAGATCTGAAATCATGGCACTCGGGCCCTAGTGACAAGCATTAAGCATAGCAAAGTCATAGCAACATCAATCTCAGAACATAGTGGATACTAGGGATCAAACCCTAACAAAACTAACTTGATTATATGGTAAATCTCATCCAACCCATCACCGTCCAGCAAGCCTACGATGGAATTACTCACGCACGGCGGTGAGCATCATGAAATTGGTGATGGAGGATGGTTGATAATGACGACGGCGACGAATCCCCCTCTCCAGAGCCCCGAACGGACTCCAGATCAGCCCTCTCGAGAGAGATTAGGGCTTGGCGGTGGCTCCGTATCGTAAAATGCGATGAAACTTTCTCTCTGATTTTTTTCTCCGCGAAACGGAATATATAGAGTTGGAATTGAGGTCGGTGGAGCATCAGGGGGCCCACGACACAGGGGGGCGCGCCCCCCACCCTCGTAGACAGGGTGTGGGCCCCTTGGCCTTGATTCTTTCGCCAGTATTTTTTATATTTTCTAAAAGTTATCTCCGTGGATTTTCATGTCATTCCGAGAACTTTTGTTTTCTGCACAATAAACAACACCATGGCAGTTCTGCTAAAAACAACGTCAGCCTGGGTTAGTTTCATTCAATTCATGCAAGTTAGAGTCCAAAACAAGGGCAAAAGTTTGAAAAAGTAGATGCGTCGGAGACGTATCAACTCCCCCAAGCTTAAACCTTTGCTTGTCCTTAAGCAATTCAATTGACAAACTAAAAGTGATAAAGAAGAACTTTTACAAACTCTATTTGCTCTTGTTGGTGTAAACATGTAAAGCCAGCATTCAAGTTTTCAGCAAAGATTATGAACTA